TGATAGAGAAAGGATCACTAAGTCAATGATGGTTGGAGAAGTCGTTTGGGATGGGACATGTGTGCTGAAAGTACATAAAGGACCAACATGATGGCCTCTCAGTATCTATATTGCAAATCATAATACCCAAAAGTAGAGAGAGAGTGTGGGGAAAATTATCTGTCATAGAGGCAGGGGAAGGGTTGGGATGCGGGGGGATACTGAAGAGATCGGTGATGGAAAAATGTGCACTGGTGGAAGGATGGGTGTTCATCATTGTATGACTGAAACTCAAACAGGAAAGCTTTATAACTGTATCTCAAAGTGATTCAATGGGCTGGAGTGATAGCACAGCGGCAGGGCGTTTGCCTTGCGCGCAGCCAGCCCGGTCGAGCTGGGTTTGATTCCTCTGCCCCTCTCAGAGAGCCTGGCAAGCTATCGAGAGTATTCAATATGCCAAACACAGTAACAAGTCTCACAATGGAGACGTTACTGGGCCCACTCGAGCAAAGCGATTCAATAAAAAATATATATAAATAAAAACTTAAAAAAGAAAAAGGTTTTCTATGGATTTTAAAACTTTTTTATCATAAAAATTTTCAAAATGAAAAGAAAACTCCATGTTTGCCTTGCATCTTTGTATAGCCAAGCCAAGTTCAATCCCCAGCACTGCAGATGGTGCTACTGAGCACAGATCTCTGAACCAGGAGAAGCCCCTGAGCACTGCCAGCCGGGGCCCAAAACACACCAAACAAGAAAAAGAAAAACTTCCAAAAAGGGCCAGGGAGACAGCTCTAAGCGCTGAGCACACACCCCCAGCACCACAGGGTCCCCCAAGCATTACAGACAGCAACCAGTGATTGGGAATAACTGGGAATAGTCCCTGAGGCACCATGGACCTAGCCCAAAAACAGCAAAAAAAAAAAAATTTTTTTTTCATTAAAAAAACTGCAAAAGGGTCAGAGAGGTAGAACATAAGGCATGTGATTGACCCCAGTTTAACCCCTTGACCCCTGCCAAGTATGGCCCCTGAGCACAGAGCCAGGAATATGCTCTGAGCACTGTCTGGTAGGACACAACGCCAGTCCCCCAGCCCCCAGCAACATTCAAACACGCAGAAAGGCATGGATTTGGGGGCTGGAGAGATAATGCAATAGGAAGGGCATTTGCCCTGCATGTGGCTGACCCAGGTTTGATCCCCAGTGGCCCATCTGGTCTTCCAAGCATCACCAGGAGTGACTTCTCAGTCTAGAGCCAGGAGCAACTGCTGCGTGGATTCAGGTCACGTGCCTAGCGTCCCCCAAAGCCAAGGAGGTGTCTGTAGTCCTTCATGATCTAGCTCTACTGAGCACACTTTTCTGTGGGGTTCTCCAGTCAAATCTGGCTGTAGGCTTCGGTGTGACAGATACCAGTAGTCAGTGTCCTTGAGGGCCACCCAGTAAAAAGGTCACCTGCCATAGGTACAATTATCCCCACAGCTGGTAGTGGAGGTGCTTGCAGGAACATGTGGTGCCAGGAGCTGAACCCGGACTCCCCCAGGCAGAGTTTGCACGCAGGAAGCTCTCTCCAGACCATTTTCTTTTCCTGCAGGAAACACTCTGGCAGTGTTTATTTCCATCAGGAGGCACATAGCACTGTCCTCCCTTTGTTCATCGATTTGCTCGAGCGGGCCCAGTATCGTCTCCATCGTGAGACTTGTTGTTACTGTGTCTGGCATATCGAATATGTCACAGGGAGCTTGCCAGGCTTTGCCGTGTGGGTGAGATACTCTCGGTAGCTTGCCGGGCTCTCCGAGAGGGGCGGAGGAATCGAACCTGGCTCAGCCGGGCGGCTGTGCGCAAGGCAAACGCCCTACCGCTATGCTATTGCTCCAGGAGGCACATAAGTTGTCTTTAATATGGTAGTAGCTGTTGTTACCATTTCATTATTGTCCTTTCATCTGCAAATGTGCAAATTAACAATAATCCTAGAATTTCCTCATTTATCAGTTAAATACTTCTATAAACACTGTCATACAAACACTGTCCTCCCGTTGTTCATCGATTTGCTCGAGCAGGCCCACTAATGTCTCCATTTTTGAGACTTGTTGTTACTGTGTTTGGCATATTGAACACGTCACAGGTAACTTGCCAGGCTTTGCCGTGCGAGCGAGATACTCTCAGTAGCTTGCCAGACTCTCCGAGAGGGGCGGAGGAATCGAACCCGGCTCTGCCGGACTGGCTGCACGCAAGGCAAATGCCCTACCACTGTGCTATTGCTCCAGCCCACTTCTATAAACTCTCCCTTTTTTAGGTTTTGCCTTGGGTCACACACGCTGGTGTCCAGGGCTCCTTTTAGCACCGTTTTGAATCCACTTCTAGGGGTGCTCAGGGTTTGGCCAGTAGGAGGGTGAGTCTCTGAATCCTTGTGAGTGAAACTACTCATCTTTGGTAGCTTCTTTGCTACCATATGATAATGCCCCAAGTCCATCTTGTGCCTCTCTAAATACTGTTTCTCCAAGGAGCTCTGCTCCTTTCAGCAGGAATGAGGCCACAACATAAGCAGAGTATAACTGCTTTTCAGCCGGCCACTTTTCCCAATCTAGTCTCCAATCACCTGAGAAATGAAAGCACAAATCTGCCCCCTCACTTGCTCCAAGTCCTTCTGGGCTCTAACCCTAATACCAAATCAGCTTCTTAGGCTGGAATACCAGGCTCTCAGTGGTAATTTACCTAAGCCTGTCCCAGCACTAAGACTGGGCAGTGCTCGAGAACTTATGTGATGCTAGGGATTGGAGAATCTGTGTGCAACCACTATAGTCCTTATCTCTGTATCTTTACTTGCAGGGGTTGGGGGAGCACTTCAGGGTGTTCAGGAGGCCTGTATGTGGGGGGTGCCCACTGGTAATCCTTGGCTAACTGGACTGTTTAAAGGACCTGAGGACGCAATGCTATTTAAGTCATTTGGTGCCAGGGATACCTGGGCCACCCTGGCAATGCTGGGGGCACCTAGTCACACCTGATGATGCTCAGGAGACTTGGTGCTGGGGATTAAAACCAGGTCAGGACATGCTGGACGTGCACCCCAACCCCATGCCATCTCCTGGCCCTCATCAGTGGGCTCTTAGGGCAAGGCTGAAATTCACTTTTATACTAGTTACCACGTTTGAAGGTAGAAGTCTTGGTCCTTTCCCTCTGGGGTGAAAATACAGGTCAGAGTCCCACAAGCCTAACACGACCCCCAGAGGACAAGTGTCAGAGTGCACCTTGCTTCTATTGCAAAGGTCATCCACCGCTTCCTGTGCTGGTGCCGCCTTGTGATGAATCACGTGCAGTAAATCCATCACTGTCTAACTCTATTGGAAAAATTAAACTAAACCTCAAAAGACTCTGCACAGTGCCTGGCAATTTGTAGCCCTTCACCCAAAACAGAAGCCCACACAGGCTACGAGGAGCTTTTGTCTTTTGCCACACCTGGTGGTGCTCAGGACTTACTCCTGTCTCTGCACTCAGGGATCACACAGTGCTCTAAGGACCATGGTGTGGGGAGGAAGGAGGGTAGACAGGGATGGATCCAGGTGGACTGGCTGTGTGTTAAGGCAAGAATCTTAGCCCTCCCTTGTATTACTATCTTTGCTCTGTCCTCATACCCCAGGCTAGGAAGAACTTAGCACTATAGCACTGTTCTCCCCTTGTTCATTGATTTGCTCGAGCGGGCACCAGTAACGTCTCCATTGTGAGACTTTAGTTAGTTTTTGGTATATTGAATACGCCATGAGGAGCTTGCCAAGCTCTGCTGTGCGGACGAGATACTCTCGTCTGAGAGGGACGGAGGAATTGAACCCGGGTCAGCCGCGTGCAAGACAAATGCCCTACCTGCAGTGCTATCACTCCAGCCCAGTAAGAACTTAATAGTTCGTTTTCTACGTTAGGGAGACTTCCCTTAGCATAGGCTGGGCACATGGGAGTCCGAAGTTTAGCTGGAAGTAATCTAGACAAACTATTCATACTAAGTCAAATCCTAGCAGGAAACTCGATATACTGAATCAGAGGGAAAACATCAGAACGGAATCAACTATTTGAAATGCAAACTTTGGTTTATAATCACATAATTTAAAATTTTTTTTGCTTTTTGGGTCACACCCGGCGATGCACAGGAATTACTCCTGGCAGTGCTCGGGGGACCATATGGGATGCTGGGAATCGAACTTGGGTAAGCCACATTCAAGGCCAAACGCCCTACCCGCTGTACTATCACTCCAGTCCAAGGGCAAGAATTTTTATATTGAGACCAGAGAGACACACGAAGGTCAAGGTGTTCTCTTTGTCTCCAGCTGACCCTGGTTCGAATTCCCAGAACCATGAAGCCCCTGAGGTCACTCCTGAGTAGAACCAAGAATATGAACACTACTGGTGACCAAAAGAACTTACTATGTACAGCAGGTAGGGCGTTAGCCTTGCATGCAGCTGACTGGGTTCGATCCCTAACACCCCACATAGCCCCAAGTCCACCATCAGCAATCCCTGAGCTCAGAGCCAGGAGTAAAGGACAGGCGTGATCCAAAACCAAGAAACAAGAAATAACTTACAGGGTTTTTTTTTCCTTTTTGGGTTAGACCCGGCGATGCACAGAGATTACTCCTGGTTCTGCACTCAGGAATTACCCCTGGCGGTGCTCAGGGGACCATATGGGATGCTGGGACTCAAACCCGGGTTGGTCACGTGCAAGGCAAGCGCCCTACCCACCGCGCTGTTGCTCCAGCCCCTAATTTACAGGTTTAATCCCCAGCACCACCTGTAGTTCTGAGTGCCACCAGTACAGCTGCCACTCACCCTTTCCCTCTCAAGATTTGTTGCATCTGGAACCGATTGCACAGGACACACAAACTAAAACAAGGGCCAGCAAAAAGATCCCCAACATCTTGTCATGAGCCGGGGTGACAGAATGGGTCTTCGTTCCTTTCTATTTAGACCAAGCAGAAACGATCTTGACCCACCCCCTCCAAGCCCCGACCAGGCAGTTTCACACATATGGACACCAGGAAAGGTTAAGGAATTTTCTTTATTTTTTACAAATTAAGACTATGTAGATCTCATATATTTCTGAATCAAAAACACCTTTGTCTTCACAGTATGAGTTAGAGAATGCAGCCTGGGCTGAAAACCAAGAACTAGAAAAGAAAGTGATAATTACAGTGATTACTGTATTAAAAACCTGTTAGGCATTTTCTTTAAAAGTATTTTTATTTTTTTATATCTTGTCATTCTTGGCACTGTTTCTAAAGAAAAACTCCTTTATCCCAAGCTAAAAAGCACAAGAGGTGGAGTTTGGCTTCAAGAGATGTTATTCAGATTCTCAGACCTTGCAGAGAACAAACTGATGGAGAGCTGCTAGGGGGGGTTAGTGGAAAGAAGTCCCTCCAGGAAGTTCTCAAGCCAGAGCTGGAGGCAGCAGCTAAATCAGAGTCGCATCCTGGGGGGCAGCCACGCCCGCGTTTCACACAGCTGGGCACAGGGACCCGGTGCAGGTCAGCCACCACCGGAAACTGGCTGTAACTGAGAGCCAAGTAACGCTATCCTGCGGGGAACCAGCTCTTGAGGACCCCTTACCCGAGAACCTGTGAGCAGCCAGGTCCACACTGCCACCCACGCTGTCCCTCCTCTGTGGCTGCGAGGCCACAGAAGGGGCTGGTGGTCTGTGTCCGGGGTGGCCTCCCTCACGTGCAACCACCACGCGCATGGTAGGCGATCAGGTGTGGTTTGCGTTTTTATCACTTGAGCCCCACCCGGGAGGGTGAAGATTTCTGGAAACACGTGAACAGGCCAAAAACTAAAGTGCATGTGTAAAATGAACATTTATCTACTGCCCCAAAGCTCTGGCTTGATGGTTATCTTTCAATGTCCAGGCAGGATATGACAAAACGACCAGAAGACGGTTGATCGGAACAAAGAACCATTCAGGGGAGATTTTGTTCCTTTCTGCCCCAGGCAAGTTCTAATCTAGGTTGTTTGGCTGGGCAAGTACATGACCCCCACAGGCCCAACCATTCGCCCTCCCGGTTCTTCCTCCTCTGAAACCTGAAATCGCAGCTACCTGGTGGAGTGATCAACCAACAGAAAAATAATAAAGCCCCGGGGAGCTGAGGGATTTCCCCCTGTGCCTGTCACACAGATTTCAGCCTTTTCACAGAGGTCTGCCGAGCTCTCCCTTCGTGCTTTCGTGCTGAGATCCCCTTGCCCTGTGGAGGGAAGAGCAGGCATGCACCCCAAGGATCAGGCAAGGGATGTGAAGGGAACCCCAGAAATCCACATTTCTTTTCATGACGGCAAGGCAAAAAGGCATTTGCCGGACCAGCAGGAACTTGGAAAGTTGGAGGCAGCCAAATATTCATCAGAAGAGGCTCTTCATTTTCGTTGGAGGGGTTGACCGAAGTTCAGATCTAATGAGCCCGAGTCACACCGGACCAGCAAGCTTCTTTCCAATGGAAAACACACTGCTCTGTCCCACAGCACCCGCGCACAGACCAACACCGCAAAGGAGAGGCCAGGTGACTCTACTGGACAGCTCAGTCCTGGTGAAGCATGGTTGGAAAGCGGATGTGTGACGTTTGCTGCCTCCGCACCGCCCAGTCCTCGTCACGTGGACAGACGGCCAGAGCAGAGGAGGAGGGCAAGGGCGGGGTTGACAGGAAAGGGAGTGGGGAGGAACCCCAGGAAGATGAAGCCAAACTCCAAACTATATTCTGCTAATCAGTTTTTTGATCCAAAAATTCAAAATAGAGAAGACCACAAAGTACAAAAGCTTTTCTGATGCTTTTCATTATCATAGGACACGCCACCTGCAATGTGTGCAAGAGAAGATGAGGGGTGGAGGGAGAGGAAGTCGAGAGGGAAAGGCCAGACGGTCGTTTCACTTCTTCTCTTTCTTCTTATCCTAGAAACGGAGAGAATGACACGATTCACTCTTGAGTCAGTCAGTATCTGGGAGTCTCTGGTTAAGGGCCGAAAGGCATCAAGACAAAACCACAAAATACCTCAACGCTGCAGAATCGGAATCTCACTCCTTCCTCCAGCTGCTCACAGATGAACAGAATGAAAGTCCTACAGTTCATCTGTTCGCACTCCCTTGCCAAGAGTGCACGGCCGAGTTGCCTGACCTCTCCTGCCCACTGCCACTGCCAGATGCTTAGCTCTCAATCAGCAAAGCTGACAGATAAGCAGTTTACCCTTAAAAGGGGCCAAAGATGTGGTTCAAATGGCAGAACATAGGCTTGCACCGGTGAAGCCCTGATCTGTTTCCTGACACGGGATGCCCCTCCTTCCCACCCCCAGTACCAGCAGCTGTGGTCCAAGTGGGAGTGGCCCCTACAACAAAGCTCCTAATTTTATCTGTTCCCTACTGCTAGGGCAGACTATGTTTCACATTCACTTACTATACGAGACAGACTGTGTCAAACAGCTTGGTCTATAAAGATTTCTCAGTTACCTCTTTCTCAACAACCACCCAAAGGGTACCTCTACACCACTTTTCAAATGTACGTGAGCCGTTTTCAAACATATACACTACGTTCCAGAGCACGCTCTCGGCTTCTGGTACAGATCACTAACCTTTTCATTCATGGCCAGGATCAGCATGAGTTTTCTGAAGAGAGTAACAAAATCTAAGAAGAGGTCAACGCAGTGCCTGAAAGAGAATCCGATTGCTTACAAACTGATCTGAACTCACAGAAGTACAGGACATTAAAAAAAAATCAACTCCCACCAAGCCTCACCAATCCTTTTAATGACAACAAAGCCATGCAGTACAGGAAAAAAAAATTCACCCTGTCTTTCAGGAACCAAAAGACTATACTACTGGGCGCACAGTTCCAAAACCATAGGCATCCTACTAAGTACACTTCTGAAGCATGGCCACATTAAGTTCATTCAGTGCGACCTAGTGTCCGCTTTCCCCACTGATGTGGAAAGGTTGGTTGGGCAACGGATCGTCCCAGAGACACAGAAAAAAAGTCACAGAATAGAAGAGCATATGCATCCTTAGTATTCACGATAACCATTTTATACTCACCAGATATAATCCTTATCTCCATTTTCAGCCTTCTCAATGATAAGTTGAGTATCAAAAAGGACAAAGCCACACATAACCACCAGCCCCATATACAGATTTGCCTGGTGAAAATAAATTGAAGTTACCGTCTGATAAACATCAAGGAGGAATCCACCCTTTTCCCCAGCTCCTTGTTAGCGGAAGTTCCAGAGCGACAGTGCAGTGGATGGCATTTGCCTTGCAATGCAGCCGATCCAGGTTCGATCCCTGACATCCTATATAGTCCCCCAAACCCACCAGGAATGATCCCAGAGTTGGAGTAAGCCCTTAGCACTGCTGGGTGTGGCCCAACCTCCACCACCCCACCAAAAAAGTACATCAAATTCTAAGTCTACTAACATTAGTATTCATGGGAACTAAAGCCCATGGTGAAGACATTACTTTCCTAGACACAACTCTACATGATCTGGGGGAGAAGGGGAGTTGTGGGAACTCAGGATATCAGGAGGTGCCAGGGATCAAACCTGGGCCTCCCACCTGCAAAGCGAATGTTCTGGTCCTTCGAGCTATCTCCCTGGCTACTCCAATAATCTTTTAATCTCTGAGAAACAATATTCTCCTTAACCAAGCTCAAACAAACCCCAGTTTGGTCTGTGCTTTCCCCCATAGCAGATGGCAATATCCGAGGGAAATTTGTGCTGATGTTTTAGGAGAATGAGGGGTGGAGTGGGGGTTGGAGGGGTGAAGACCAAAACAATGGTGTAGAACAGCGAACTCTCGGGGAGAACGTGGTGTTGGAATGTACGCACAAAACCCTACCACTAGCAGATCCTGGTGAAACCCTCCGACTATCTTACTTAAAGGCCTGGCAAAAAGACACGTGGTCCCTGAGATTTATAGGCCATGTCTCACCTGGAAAAGCCAAATGGATCCAAAGAAAAGGTTGCCCAGAGAAGACAAGAACATCAGACTCATGGCTGACATCAAGACACCTACATGAGATTACAAAAAGCCATCTTAAGAGAAGCTGGGAAAAAAATAAATAATCCCCCTACCCCCAAAGCCATTCCTTACTGTGCCCCCCAAATAAGAACTTACAACTTTAATCCAATAGTCACAAGAACTGGGGAACAGGGAAAAAGCTCTAAGGAGAATCCTGGCTAAGGGCTGGTGGGATAGCACAGCGGGTAGGGCGTTTGCCTTGCACACGGCCGACCGGGGTTCAATTCCCAGCATCCCATATGGTCCCCCAAGCACCCAACAGGAGTAATTTCTGAGTGCAAAGCCTGGAGTAACCCCTGTGCATCGCTGGGTGTGACCCAAAAAGCCAAAAAAAAAAAAAAATCCTGGGTAGATCCAGGATTATCGCCCAACGTTTACCTCCAAGGAACAGATAGCTCCGGCGCCTGGCGTAGAGTGCACTCAGGGTGAAGCAGGTGAAGATCATTGCTGTGCCCATGAAGGCCGTGGGAAGGATACTGTCAAGGAAAAGACATGACACTGAGGACTCCAGAGCTGCACTGAAAAAGGCTATGTCTAAAGGCAGAAAGACCAAGTTACCTGGGGTTGATGGCGATACACAGCTCCAGAGCAGGGCCCAGGCCGATTCCTAGAAAACAAAAAAAGCCCAGAACACACTACATGAGTTCTTGAAAAGGACCCTTGTCCAAACTGATCATTAATGTCCCAGGCATGCCCACTTGGTGAAAAGCACCACCAAAGACACATGGAAAGAATTAAATCTCTCTTCTATCTCCATCTTTGATTATTAAAAAAAAAAAATACTTTACACAATGCAAAACAATCCTTCTTACTAAAAATAACGGGTGCCTCTGAGAGAACAAGAACTGAAGAACAGTGAAGCAGGCATGTCAAACATTTTGAGCCACAACATGGGCTTCAAAACACTGAAGAGAAGTGAAGTGAGCCAGTAATGTGGCCAGATCAGAAATTACTCCAGAAGAAAAGGCTAAAGAGGAACGCTGTGTCCCACATACGGCCAGTCAGGCAGAACTGCCTCCCTTTGTAGCCAGGAGGGCCAGACCGGTTCTGCAGGTGCTCACCTGCAACCAGAGGCACCGCGGCAACCTGGCCCCACAACCAGATTTCCTCTACTCTGGTTACTAACCTCTCTCATTCTGGTAATTCCTCTAATTCCCCTCCTAAGACCTTCCAAATACTAGGGTTCCCTCCTCTAAAAAATCTTAATCTCTTAATCCTTTCCTTTCTATAATTTCTTCAACCCTGTATAAATGTATAGGCGATACTCAGAATGCGTTGTACTAACTCAAAAGTTGCTTTGCTAGTACTTTCTGTAGCTTGAAACAGGTTTATCTTATAGTTCTAAAAGAGCTTTTAATTCTTTGCTTGAGAATCAGCATCGGCAGCATAAGGCCCAATGTATAGCTTTAATTAACCGTCTGCAAAATTCAGACTACATGTTCCTATGAGTTTCCAACCTGAGTCCAAAGAAGCAGGAGTCTAGGGCTAAGTTGAGCCCTGCATTAACCATTAACAAGTTATTTAACCTAAGTCTTAAAACTGTTCATTTGTGTAAGCACAAACTTATTTTTGAATACAAAAGCAAAAACTTGCCTCTCGTGACAAAGCGCATACTCTGTGTAAATGCAAGATGAAATCAAAAGTAACTCCAGGCAAGATATACTCAAATGTACTAACTGGGGTGAATCGGAATACAAATCTGATGCATTAGTCTAAAGAAATACTAAGACTAATAATTCCTCCATCCTAGTAAGCCGAGGTCTAACATACCAGTAAGGAAAGCAAATCCAGCAAGAAGTCCCAGCCTTTTTTGCTCAGTTTCATGGCTATGAGGTGTGGCCATCAACCAAATCATCAATCCCAGGGAACCCAAGGCAGAGAGCAGGCCAGCCTGTAAGATCAGAGTCAATAATAAAATACCTAAAAGAATCAAATTAATTTCCCACACCTATGAAGAGCAAGTATGACCCCAAACCCAAAATAAATTATATACACCTTGGTTAGCAAAAAACTTCGAATTTTAGTTATATTCTTCAACTGTCTCTTCTATTCCTATTGGCCAGACCTCAACTCCCTCAACACACAAAAACATTAGCTGTTGGAGGGGTCAAAGTGATTGTATAATCCCTAAGACACTTGTCTTGCATGCTGCTAACTGGGTTTGATCCCTGGCATCCTATATAGAAAGCCCTGAGCATCACGGGTGTGGCCCAAAAAAACAAAAATAAGGAACAAAAGAATGAACTGTTGGAACCAGAGTGGGTAGAGTGCTTGCCCTGCACATGGTCAACCCGAGTTCAATCCAAAGCACCACAAATAATCCCTCCCCACACCCACCAACCCCCCCCCCCCCCACCCAGCTTGCCAGGAGTGATACCTGAGCACAGCGCCAGGAGTAAGCCCACTGAATATTGCTGAGTGTGGCCCCCAAAAAAAACACTAAAAACAAATTTGTTGAAGGTTTCCCTCAACTGTCCAGCAATAACTATTTTCAGAGAACAAGATTAGTACAATCCTTAAAAAGATACAGTCCTGAGACTCTTGCTAACTAGTCATACTGTTAGCAAGCACTGCCAGTCATTCAGAGAAAAATAATGGAGAAAAAGACAAAGAGTTCAGTGAAGATCCCAGCACTGTCCACGCTGTGACTGGGGCCCAAATGTATCAGTAGCACATCTTTCAGTATCAGGTGTAAGGCTGAACCTTCTCCCTGTATGGGGGTCGGGCACGTGGCTCAGTGGTACTGTGTGTGCTTTACATGCATTGAGTCCTGGGTTCAACAGCCAGAGTCACACACAAAAAGCAGTAACTTGTGCTGGGGAGATGACGCTCAGTGGCAGAGCACAGGCACTGCATGCAGGGCTCCTGGATTGCATCCTGAGCACCTCATGGTCCTCCTGGCACTACTGGGTGTGGTCACCTGCCCTTCCCATCCGCAAGATGTTGTCTGTTGAGGGCACAGCTGCCATGAAATGCAGACGGCTGCACATGTCCTGGTTTAATGACTGAAACTAATGAAAAGTACTAAGGAGAGGTACAGGTTGTAGTTTCGTCCTAATGCAACGTGTGCCACGGCTACCAGAACAACTTCTCTTACCTGAATGAAATGGGTGACCACGTGGACATAGGCCCCCGCAGCCGCCACAAACATGCACAGCGCAAAACTGGCATAGACCTTCTTCAGGTGCTGCTGTGTTGAGGGGGTTCTAGGAAAGAATGGCAACAGTCACCACTCCAGGACCAACCTCACCTCCAAGCTAAGACTCACTTTCCTCCCGGTCTTCGCTGAGACCATGTGCAAGTATTACTACAAGTTTAAAAAGTTCTGGAAATACATTAACAGAATCTTAAGATGCTGGAAAAGAACAAAAGCTCCCAAGTTTTAGACAGTCGGTACCCAAACGTAAATAACTGATTCATTTTCACACTGTAGCCCTTCAAACATGGGGACCTGATTCATATCCAGAGTTAATGGCAATTTATACACACGTTAATAAATTAAGAAAAAAGATGACATGTGAAGGGGGAAGTGACAGAAAAGCTCAATCAAGGTCAAAACACTTACATGTGGGAAAATTTGAAGAGGGCATCAAAGTTGATCTTCCGATCAAATATGTTCATGATGCCAGAGTCTGTGGGACACAGCCTCCACTCTGTGGGATCAAGAAGATGAAGAAAGGTTATCTTAGAGACACGTGTATATACAAAACAACTTTTTCTAGGAGAAATAAGTTATTTAAAACCCCACGGCCTAACATGACTATTCTCATTTGCATTTTCTTCTAGAATATATTTGCAACCACCATTATTTTATGGGGTACTGATGAAATGAACCCAACTTCTTCCTAAACTATTTTGCCTGAGAATTTGATTTCCATTCCTTTGGGGGAGAGTCTCAAATACCAAGTCTCACACACATAAGGTAAGCATCTAATACTGAGCAAAGTCTCTGGCCCCAGAAAAGATTCAACAGGATTTCTGATCTTTCTCAGAGAAAAGTTGAATAGCGAGGAAACAGAAAAACGTTGAAATGGTCCATATTTCCTAAATGCCACTGTATCACCCTACTTGTATTATCCTTTTCCCCACACACATACACATACGTAGTAAAATACTTTATATTTTTCCTCAATGTGCAAACATAATACCATTATCTCTACACAGTATATCCTAAAAATGATCAAATCAGGAAATTAAACATTGATACGATACTATTTTCTGATCTATAAACCTTATTCAAATCTTGTCTACTACTCCAAGCTGTCAGGGGAAATGCAATTTATTTTATGTCGGTTTTTTTTTTTTGAGTCACACCTGACAGTACTCAGAGGCTACTCTCAGTTCTGTGCTTTGAGAGATACCAAGCGACGCTCAGCCTTAAGACTAAACTCTATTCAAGTTACATTATCTCAGTATCCTAAGTTGAAACTTTGCTCCTTTCCATACTTCACATGCAATCCTAAATGTGATCAATTTATAAAACATAAAAATCAAGATCTGGGGCCAGAGCGACAGTGCAGCAGGTAGGGCGTTTGCCTTGCACAGGACCAACCTGGGTTTGACCCAGAATCCCATCTGGTCCCCTGAGCACAGAGCCAGGAGTAACCCCTGAGCATTGCCAGGTGTGACCCAAAAAGCAAATAAATAAACAAATAAAATCAAGATTTACTCATTAAACATATAGCCCCACAAAAAATATATGTATACATCTATAAGTCCAGGCTAATAGATCCATATTGCCCTTTTATATAAAGCTAAGTTGCTTGAGAGGCCAATTACTCCCTCCTAAACAGCACCAAGCCCCCTCTTCAGGAAAAATTATTCTGGTCAATAAAAGTTACGATCTCCAAATCAACGTATAGAGAAATCACTCGGGAAAATGTCATTCTCAGAGTTCAGTATTTGATTCTTTCTCTCACAAATGAGAAAATTAAGCAGCTGCCTGGTTTTCTCTGAATTCCCTCCTCTCTCACCAACAAGCCTACTCACCTCAATTCTCTTGTAGTTCTGTTCTTATGACAGAAACAGAAGCAGAAGAACCCAGCAGAGCTGCTACTCGCCCTCCCAGTCACAGGACCGAGCCCTGTTGGTTGAGATGGTGCAATTATTGCAGGCGGTTGCACCGCCACCACCGCCTTCCGTGATCACGATGGACCCATCTCTTGAGAGCTCACTTACAGGATGGCAGAATCCAGCACCAGGAAAGTGTCTTTGTCTAAAGCTTCCATTAACACCTCTAATGACATCCCTAGATAGAACTTGCAACAGCACTGAAGCAACCGTCAGACCCAAGTTTCTCAGTACACACAACAACATGCTCAAGTACCTCTTGCTTCCAATTTCAAGAGTTAAATAATGGGGGGGGGGGGGGGGGGAGTGGTAAAAAAGGCGCAATACTCTGTAACCAGACCCCCAGCTAGGCGGGGTGGGATGGCAGAGAATCTTCTTTCCCAGTTCACTCTGACATTTCCAAGAAGGTACTCACTGCCTCTCTTGAAACACTGATGGAAACAAACACACCATCACGGGATAGGAGAGTAGGGAAGAAGCGAGGCAGTGAATATTTCTCCATTATTTAGTAATGACTTGTGTTTTTAAAATCCCCCAAGGCCCGAGGCAGGGAATTGGCAAAAAGGACTGGGGCACGGCCTTTGCAAGATCGAGTCCTGGATTCAGGCCCTGGGACCACGCGGTCCCGAGCACCCTAGGGATGATCCCCCTCAGCCTTTCTGTTTGGGGGACACAACTGACAGTGCTCAGGATTATTCCTGGTGCTGTGCTGGGGCTGCTTCTGGAGCGCATGGAGGACCAGGAGGTGCTGGGGATGGAATGTACAGCTCCCACGTGCAAAGCTCCCACATGTGTTCCCGTCCTTTGAGATAGCTCCCAAGTCTCAGGATGCAATAAAATATGCACACATTTAATAACCATCAAGGGATACGAAAATGTGGAAATACGAGAGAAAAGCTAAGTCTCAGGATCTAGGAGATAGGACAGTTCGCACGAGGTACAAACCAAAAAGACAAGAACGAAGGTAAATACAGAGCTAAATGTATCAATTTGAGGTGAGGGAGACAGTTCAGATGTGCCCAGCCTGAGACGCTCAAGTAAAGAACCCACCCAGATCACGCAAGTCCTTACTGCCAGAATTCCGAAAACTGCCTGCAATGGCCGCTGGTCCCTCACACTCATCCCCTAAGCTTGAGCGGAGGCCCTACCAAGCAAAAGAAAACCTCTTATTAGTTTTGGCAGATTGTATTTTTAGTCTTGGGGGTAGAAAGTATAGTGGATAAATTGCATGCCTTGCAAGCAGACACTGGGTTCAATCCCTGGCACCCCATATAGCCCCTAAAGTCCTACTAGGAGTGATCCCCGAGTGCAGAGCCAGAAGCAAGCCCTGCTTGCTAGACGTGATCCCCATCACCCCCCAAAAGAGTTATCTACATTTCAACAATACACAAACTACTGAACAAGATTTCAAATAACATATATACTCAAAAATCAAGACCTCACATACCAAAAGTATTCTCAGTCCCAGGAACATGAACTTTTGTGTGTGTGTGTGTGTGTGTGTGTGTGTGTGGTGCTACAACCAGCACTGCTCAGGGGCTACTCCAGGCTCGGTACTTCAGGTTCACTACAGGTTCAGTGCTTGGGGGGATTCACATGGTACTAGGGATCTAAGCCAGGTTTCTTACACACAATGCAAGCATACTCAACTATTGCTATCACTCCAGCCCAAAAATAGATCCTGAAGCATTAAAAACCATTAACTGGGTCGAGCACTAATACAGCAAGTTAGACATTTGCTTGCACATGGCAGACTGGGTTGGATCCCTGGCATCCCATATAGTCCCCCAAGCCACCAAGAGCAAGTCCTGCATACAGTCAGGAGTAATCCCTGAACATCGCTGGGAGTAGTCAAAAAACCAAACCAGGGGCTGGAGCGATAGCACAGAAGGTAGGGCGTTTGCCTGGCATGCGGCCGACCCAGGTTCGATCCCCAGCATCCCATATGGTCCCCTGAGCACTGCCAGGACTAATTCCTGAGTGCAGAACCAGGAGTAACCCCTGAGCATCGCCAGGTGTGACCCAAAGAAAGAAAGAAAGAAAAAAAACCAAAACAAAACAAAAACATTAACCAAGCAACTTGGCTAATATTCCAGAGAAGTTCTTGAAAGTCAAGTGAAAAAATCTTTCTAAAAAGGGAACATTAGAGATTGGAGTGACAGTACAGGGTGCTTGCCTTGAAGCCTTGAAGCCTAGTTTGCTCCCTAGAACCATTTAAGGTGCTCTGAGTACAAAGTATAAGTCCTGAGCACACACCCTCTCTGTGCCATAAAAAGTACTTTCAAGGCTGGGAGTACTGAGGAGATACCTCAAGGTGTGATGCAGTTTAGTTTCTGGGGTCCCTGAGCTGGATCCCTAGCACTGCATAACCCTAGATGTATCCCTGGTGATCCCTGAATGTAGAGCCAAGAATAAGCCCTGAACACCACTAGGAGTTGCCCAAAAACACAAACAAACAAAAAAACAAAAAATTAAGATGCCAAAGATGCAGTTCAGTGTTAGGACACATAACTTGCACTTAGGAGGTTAAGACTTCTATCTCAGGAGCCCTGCCCCCCAAAGAAAGCAGATTTTGTTAGGTATAATCTACTATAATAAAGGGGAGATGTGCACATAAGCTGCTCAAAAATTCTTTCCTGTAGCACACCACACCTAACCCCTTAATGAGTAACAGCAGCGGGTCTTTCTTACTTTGGATGCCAACTCACAGATGAATCGAGTAACTCAATCGTCTCTAGTCCTTTTAAAAGGGAAGTGGTGGTGTTTATGCAAACTTAAAAGTGGACAGTAGGACTGGAGCGACAGTACAGTGGGTAGGGCATCTGCCTTGTAGGAGCCGACCCAGGTTCGATTCCCAGCATCCCGTATGGTTCCCCGAGCACCGCCAGGAGTGGTTCCTGAGTGCATGAGCCAGGAGTAACCCCTGTGCATCACCAGGTGTGACCCAAAAAGCAAACTAAATAAAATTAAAAAAATAAAAGTGGACAGTGCTGGGGGCCGGAGCTATAGTACAGTGAGTAGAGCATTTGCCTCGCACACAACCAACCTGGGTTCCATCCCCGGCATCCCATATGGTCCCCCAGCACTGCCAGAAGTAATGCCTGCGTGCAAAGCCAGGACCACTATTGGGTGTGACCCAAAAAAACAAATAATAAGCATCTATTTAAAAAAAGAAAAAGTGGACCGTGCCTTGTGGACTTGGAAAACTCAACTATACCGCAGTTTTAAGTGACAAGAAAATGTTTAGGTGCTAATCATAACCGAATTCTTTTAATTTAGTTCAATGCCTCTTCTTATGGCTTGATCCTTAGCAGAGCAGGAATCCAAAACTTACCAGGATAGGGACTAGAGAGATAGTACAGGGAGTACGGTGCTTGTCTTGCACCCAGTCAACCCAGGCTTAATCCCCAGAATCCCGTAGGATTCCCCCAAAATAGCCAGGAGTGATTCCTGAGTGCAGAGTCAGGAGCAAAGCCCCGAGCATTGCCAGGTGTCTCACCAACGCCCCCACTTCCTCCCCCCAATAATAAAAACTTCTGAATCTTTTATGCATAATAAAATTTGTCATGCACAAACTGCTAAA